TTTAAAATAGATACGTGACATTTTTATCCATTAGTAACTTATATTTTTCAATAATAACGATAGAATCTCTAATATTGATTTTTCAGATAATTTCTTTATTTTGAAGTATTATACCAATTTGTTTTTTTTTTTTTTGAGTTTTCTCAAAATATTCTCAGCCGACAATTGAAGAGTAATCCTTTTGTGTTTACCAACATTTCATCCTACAATCACTTGAGATTTCAAAATTTCAATTCCGGGGAGGCTTGCCGTCAATATTTAGTAATTTTATTTTTATTTCAAAATTATACTTATTATATTTCTCAATGCTGTTATGTCTCCCATTAATGACTTGGCAAACGAGGGGGGAAAGTGACGAACTCTGAAGTCCCCATTTTGTCCACCCCTTCTCCCAATGTTTTAGAGAAACCCACACCCAGCATCTACCACTAATTTCCTCACTCGTTTTGGTAAATGCTAATCCAAAAGGATTTTATTGCCATGTCCTTATTCCGACCTTGACCTGACTCATAAATATCCATATTTTTTGAACTGATTTAAATACTGACCCACTTTTATTTGGGTCAGTTTTAGACCTGACTCATTTTAATATTGACCCACTGACCCAAAACATGAGCCATACCCATTATGTGAAAAAAAATCACAATTACATTAAAAGAAAAGTTTTAACGTAAAATAATTACGTCAAAAATTTTTATGGAAAATATTTTCATAAAATTTTCGCAAAAAATTTTGACGAAAAATATTTTCATCAAAATTTGTGACTATAAACATATCGGTAAAAAACTTTGACGGAATATTTTTTTTGTCAAATTTTTTTACGGAATCTAAATTTCGTCAAAATATTTCACAAAAAAATATATTTATAAAAACTTTCGACGAAACACATTTTTATCGAAATTCTTTGACGAAAAAAAATTTCATCAAAATTCTTTGCAGATTTCAAATTTCGGCGAAAGTTTTCGACGGAAACATTTTCGTTAAACTTTTTGACAAAAAAAAATTTCGTCGAAATTTTTAGCGAAATACATTTCTATCAAAAAATTTCGACTAAATATTTTCGTCAAATTTTTTCATAAAGAATATATCCATAAAAATTTTCAACGGAATACATTTCTGTAAAAAAAAATCGTAAAATTTTTTGACAAAAATATTTCGATAAGAAATTTTGATAGAAAAAATATTTTGTCTAAATTCTTTAGAGAATCTAAATTTCGTCGAAAGTTTCAAATGAAACATTTTCCTCAAAACAATTTCCATTGAAAATTTTGACGAAACACATTTCCATCAAAAAATTTCGACGGCTTCATTAAAATTCTTTACAGATTTCAAATTTCGGCAAAAGTTTTCGACGAAAATATTTTCGACATAAAAATATTTTGACGGCAAAAAATTTCATCAAAATTCGTTACAGATTTCAAATTTTGGCGAAAGTTTTCGACGAACATATTTTCGTCATCAAAAAATTTTGACGGCAAAAAATATCAACGACAAAAAATTTCATCAAAATTCTTTACAGATTTCATATTTCGGCGAAAGTTTTCGACGGAAATATTTTCGTCATCAAAAAATTTTGACGGCAAAAAATTTCATGAAAATTCTTTATAGATTTCAAATTTTGGCGAAAGTTTTCAACGAAAACATTTTCGTCATCAAAAAATTTTGACGGCAAAAAAATTCATCAAAATTCTTTACAGATTTCAAATTTCGGCGAAAGTTTTCGACGAAAAAATTTTCGTTAAATTTTTTGACAAAAAAAAAATTTCGTCGAAATTTTTAGCGCAACACATTTCCATCGAAAATTTTCAACTAAATATTTTCGTCAAGTTTTTTGATAAATAATTTCCATTAAAATTTTCAACGAAACACATTTCTATAAGAAAATTCCGTAAATTTTTTTGACAAAAAAAAACATTTTGGTGAAAAAAATATTCTGTCAAAATTCTTTAGAGAATCGAAATTTCGTCGAAAGTTTCAAATGAAACATTTCCCTCGAAATAATTTCTGTCAAAATTTTCGTCATAATACATTCCCATCGAAATTATGAACGAAAAACATTCCGTCAAATTTTTTGACAAAATTCTTTTTTTGTTTAAAACATTTGATGGAAGAAATCATTTTCGTCAAAACTGTTGACGGAAACTAAATTTCAATAGAAAAAAATTTTTTGTAAAAATTTTGACGAAAAAATAATTTTGTGACGAAATTTTCGTCTTTTGTAACGTAAAAATTTTGACAAAATTTTGTGAGAAAATCAAGTCAAAAACGGGTCAGGTCATATTTGACCCGGTTCATAAACCAAGTCAGGTCAGATCCAAACTGGTTCTAAACTAGTTCAACAAAATTCAATCCAAGTCAGACCTGACTTAGATCAAGTTGAAACGGGTCGGGTCAAAATACCTGACCTATAAAAACCAAGTTGGGTCGAGTCAGACAAAAACCTGACCCGACCTAACCCATGCACAGCCCTAATTTCGCTACTTGTCTATAAGATTTAATTGTAAATTAAATATTGATTTAAATACATTTTAAGTAATGTTCTAGAGAAATCAACACCCAGTCTATCTCCCGTTAACTTCCTCCCCCAAAAACATTTCGCAACTTGTCTATAAGATTTAATTATAAAATAAATATAGACTTAAATTTATTTTGTCACAAAAAAGGTATGTACATTGTTTTTATGGTAACGTGTTTCTTAAGTGAGAAAGGAGAGAGATTTCTTTGCTGACACAACCTATACATGTTTCTAATAAATTTCACATGTGGATTGTGTCAGCCGTAGAAAGAATTTCTCTCGGAAACACAATGTTCTTATTTTTATGAGAAAGATGTGTATATATTTTTTAGGTAAAAAGATGTGTATTATTTTAAATAATACAAGTTATGTCATTTCATATATATAAAGAGGTGAGATTCGTTTTTTTTATTTTTATTTTTTTTCCCATTAGAACTCATACTTTTTTATGTCTATAAAATGAGATAATGTGTCAATTAAGATGATACACAATTTTTTTTTTATTTTTATACATATAATAATTTTACATTGAAAAATGTTTTCTTCTATCGTAAAGGTCAATACGGGGAATTTATTTTTTATTTTTTCAATGTTTTACATGACAAAATCATTTTAAGCGATAATGCTAAAACAAAATTTGGGAGGTTTTATATACCAGAATTCTTACGTGAAGTGTTTCGTTTTATTTCAACCCAAGAAGGACGGCTTTTTTACCTTTATAACCTTTTATTAATAATTAATTATCAAATTGACCTTCATTATAAACTATTTCAAAAATTTAACCTCCCCAACAAACATAACACCAATCTGCCCCTGTTTGACCGTTGACTACCAAGTCTACCCGGGTACTCCCCTCCCTACCCGGGTATTTTTTGAAATTTTTGCCTATCCGGGTAGGGAGGGGTGTACCCGGGTAGAGTTCTTCAATCTGGAAAAATAGTTGAATTATTTACCCGGGTACATAGGGGTGTACCCGGGTAAATCTCCACCAGAAACCCCAAAACCCCTCCTAGATCTCTGCAGCAGCCAACAGACATAAAATTTACAAAATCGGTTCCTCCTCCTTATCTTCATCTTATGTTAATTTTTTTATCCCATCTTCCCACGGTATTGTCACCTACCATTTGCTATGGTTTTTTCAAATCTTGGGTTGGTTGAAAGTTCTAAACTTTTTTTTGATTTCTTTGCAAGTTTGGTTTTGAATGAATGCTTCTGAGAAAAGGGTACCTCTTTCAACTTTACTGCTCTTGTACTTGTTCCTCATACAATTTTTTCCGAATCTAGTTTGTTGCAGTTTTTGAACAGGTATCGCTTCTTGTCATTGGATGTGTGAATTTCTGAACCTATTCGACAGAGGCCATGCATTATTCTGCCTCCTCCTGCTTCATTTTGCATCCAAGGCCTGGTGTCAGTTTCCGAGTTCTGTTAGAATTCCTGGTGATAACTGTTAATGTAAGTAAACTTACAAGTGCTATAGGAGTTGTTATGTAGCAGTCTCTTGAGTTCAATGGGATTTCATTTTAGTCTCTTGAGTTTTATTTCATTTTGGGGTTTTTGACAGAGATTTACCCGGGTACACCCCTCCCTACCCGGGTAAATAATTCAAACATTTTTCCAGATTGAAGAACTCTACCCGGGTACACCCCTCCCTACCCGGGTAGACAAAAAATTTCAAAAAATACCCGGGTAGGGAGGGGTGTACCCGGGTAAGCTTGGTGGTCAACGGTCAAACAGGGGCAGATCGGTGTTATGTTTGTTGGGGAGGTTAAATTTTTGAAATAGTTTATAATGAGGGTCAATTTGGTAATTAATTATTAATAAAATGTTATAAGGGTCAAAAAGCCCAAGAAGGACCATCTATGTTTGGGACCAAAAGGTGGAGGATGACGATGAACTGGTGAGGAATATCAGCAATGCTGTTTTATCTTATCTGAAGCAGGACCATACCAAAAGACTTGAATTTTCCTCTTTGAATGTTCCTGACCCTTCCCAAGAAAGTAGAAAGCATTGAAAATTTTTCTAAAAGAATTACAAAAGGAAAAGAAATCAAAATTCTCAATAGAGGAAGAATGAAGATCAAAATTCTAGGGAATAAAACTTTAAAACTGAGATATCTTCACGTTTTCGATGTAATTTCCTTTTTATTACACTACATCAGTTATCATTATTTTATGAGAAAAACATTTATCTTTTTAAATAACAGAAATTATGTCATTTCACTCAAATAAAAAGATGAGATTTACATTTTTATTATATTTTATCCACTTTTTTTCCCATATGATCTAATTCTTTCTCTCATGACACAAATTTATATCTTTACATATATTTTTTCCTTTATTTTATTTTATTTCGTCTCAATTAAAGTGGTTGAATTTGGGTTTTACCATTAAAAGAGAAGATAAAAAAAAAAAGGAAAGAGATCAAAAAATGAACATTAGGAAAAAAGAAAAGAAAGGTAAGGTTCTGAAAAGCATTGAAAACGACCATGGTCGACCACGACACTCAGATACCCGGTATCATCTTTCTTTCTATTTTCATTTGAATTTTGTTGACTCAGCATTTGCAGTTTTAGTGTATGTATATTTTCCCATAAATATGGCTTATGAATGTTTCATTTTTGTCATCTGATCCTCGCCATTCATCAACTTGCTATTACCACTCTCGTGTTCTTCACTGCTAACATTTCAGCTTACCTTTCAATTATCTTCCATTTAATCTGTTGAAATCTCTCCTTTGAAAACCTTCAATACTTAGTGAAATATTGTACGATTTTATTCGGTTCTGTCATAAATATAATCCGAAAAAAAGTCTATGATTTCACAATCCTGATGACATTTGAGCGTCGAACCCTTAATGCAACTGCTATATATATATATATATATATATCCCTCTAGAGAGCAAGCTTTCTTCACATCTCAAAACAAGGTTTCTATCGTTTCAGCCTTTCTCCTCCTCTATTTTCTGTTCCTTTCAACTGTTCTCTGTTTTTTTTCCCCATTTTCCGTGGCTCCTGTTGATGATCCAATGAATTCCACCTTCGAATCTTCGGAAAATGTTTTTGATTTATCCGATGGAAAACTTACCGTCCAAGGCGTATCATTGTTTTCTGAAGTCCCTCAAAATGTCTCTTTCAATCCTTTTTCCAATGTGTGTCAATCATGTTCTGAATCTTCTGATGCCCCACCTTCCATCCTTGAGAGGACTCTTGCACTTTCTCATAAAGGTGGATTCCTTGGATTCTCCCAAAATGATTCTTCTGATAGATTGATTAACTCTTTGGGTAGTTTCACTGGTAAAGATTTTCTTAGTATTTTTAGATTCAAAACATGGTGGTCAACACAGTGGGTGGGAGACTCGGGTTCGGATATACAAAAGGAAACCCAGTGGGTTCTTATTGACATGCCTCAAATAAAATCCTACGTTATAGTTATCCCTATTATTGAGGGTAGTTTTAGGTCTGCTCTCCAAGCTGGCTCTGATGGCCATGTCATGATTTGTGCTGAGAGTGGTTCCACTCGTGTCAAAGCATCAAAGTTTGATGCGATTGCTTATATTCATATGTCAGACAACCCCTTTAGTTTGATGAAAGAGGCCTACGGTGCTCTCAGGGTTCATCTTAATTCCTTCCGGCTCTTGGAAGAGAAATTGCAACCAAACCTGGTTGATAAATTTGGCTGGTGCACCTGGGATTCATTTTATTTAACTGTAGACCCTATTGGCGTGTGGAATGGATTAAAAGATTTTTCTGATGGTGGGGTGGCTCCGAGGTTTGTCATCATTGATGATGGGTGGCAAAGCATTAGTCTTGATGCTGATGACCCCACAGAAGACGCTAAAAATCTTATGTTGGGTGGTGAACAAATGAATGCAAGGCTTCACAGGCTCGTCGAAGGTGATAAGTTCAAAAATTACCAAGCTGGCCTCCTCTTGGGTCCTGATGCTCCTTCTTTTGACCCAAAGAATGTCAAGGAATTATTAGCACGGGGAATTACGGTTGAGGGTTTGGAGAAAAAACGTGACGCTGCCATTGAATCTGGGAGTTCTGATGTGACCGAGATTGAGTCCAAGATTCACGAGATCAAAATAGAAATCAATGATCTATTTGGAGGAGAGCAATACAACGCTGCAAAAAGAGAATGTGGAAGTTCTTCCGGTAAAGAATTGGATTATGGGATGAAGGCCTTCACAAGGGACTTGAGGACTGAATTCAAAGGTTTGGATGACATTTATGTATGGCATGCACTTTGTGGTGCATGGGGTGGTGTGAGGCCAGGAACAACCCACCTGAATTCCAAAATAGTTCCCTGCCAACCCTCCCCAGGCCTTGATAGGACAATGACTGATCTAGGTGTTGTAAAGGTCGTGGAAGGTTCAATCGGGCTTGTTCATCCTAAGAAGGCTAATGAATTCTATGATTCCATGCACTCTCATCTTGCTGAATCTGGAGTTACCGGAGTCAAAGTCGACGTTATTCATGTTAGTTTTCTTTTCCTTTTTACATACTCTAGCTTTGGTGTCTGTTTCAACAATAAGTACTTATTAACATTGGTGCACTCTCTTTTTCTAACTGCAGACTCTTGAATATGTGTGTGATGAATATGGAGGCAGAGTTGAGCTTGCCAAGGCTTACTATGAAGGGTTGACAAACTCCGTTGTTAAGAATTTTAATGGGAGGGGAATCATCGCTAGCATGCAGCAGTGCAATGACTTTTTCTTCCTCGGAACGAAGCAAGTTGCCATGGGAAGAGTTGGTAAGCACTAAGCAGTGTACAGACAAAGGGGATATACCATTTGCTAAATGAATTTCGTTGTTTTACTCATACATATGCAAGCAAAAAAAAGCCTGTATTTAACCAATGAAATTTGTTACAGGGGATGACTTTTGGTTCCAAGATCCCAATGGCGACCCAATGGGAGTGTTCTGGTTACAAGGGGTACACATGATTCACTGTTCCTACAACAGCTTGTGGATGGGGCAGATGATTCAGCCCGACTGGGACATGTTCCAATCTGACCATGTGTGTGCCAAATTTCATGCTGGTTCTAGGGCTATTTGTGGTGGTCCAATCTATTTGAGTGACTATGTGGGCTCCCATGACTTCGATCTGATTAAGAAGCTCGTGTTCCCTGATGGTACCGTACCCAAGTGCATCCATTTTCCCCTTCCTACAAGGGATGTTCTTTTCAAGAACCCTCTTTTTGACCAAAAAACTGCTCTCAAAATTTGGAACTTCAATAAGGTATATATCTCATTGACATACATTTCAATTGATTACTACTACATGCTGTCTAACAATAAATTTGTACATTCAACAACAGTATGGAGGAGTTATTGGTGCTTTCAACTGTCAAGGGGCAGGTTGGGATCCAAAGGAAAAGGAGATCAGGGGTTTCCCCGAATGCACCAAGATGTCAGTTTCTGGTGCAGTGCATGTAACTGAGGTTGAGTGGGACCAGAAGAAAGAAGCAACCCATATGGGTGAGGCAGAGGAGTACATTGTGTATCTCAATCAGGCTGATGAACTTCATTTGATGACCCCCAAGTCTGAACCAATACAATTTACCCTCGAATCTGTCAACTTCGAGCTCTACAGCTTTGTGCCGGTCATTAAGTTCAATGGCAGCATCAAATTTGCACCAATTGGTCTAACAAGCATGTTCAACAGTGGAGGCACAATTCAAGATTTGGAATATGATGATACTGGTGCTAAGCTTAAGGTTAAAGGTGCTGGGAATTTCCTTGCTTATTCAAGTGAATCTCCTAAGATGTTAGAGTTGAATGGTTCTGAAGTCCATTTTGAGTGGCTGCCTGATGGAAAACTGACTCTCAATCTTCCATGGATCGAAGAGGCTGGTGGAGTTTCTGATGTGGCCATTTGCTTCTAGGTTTTATTTTTTCACGGTTCTCTTGTTCATTAATAAAACGTACGTTTGTTGCAAGCATGATGACGCAATTTATGTTCCTTTTATGTGGGTGCAATTGTCTCATCTCGTAAATTAGAAAATCAAGTTGATCTCTTTGGCAACAAAAACTGTTTTTCTGATGCATCTCTGTTAATCGCCACTAGTTCATTAGATTCTTCAAGCAGAAGAACAACTTTTATGTCGCGGCCTGGCCAGTGTAGTCCTTGTCAATTAACTTTTGAAGATGATTTCTTAATCTTATTTTGCAATTATAGAGAATCTCTGCTTTTTTACCCATTTGGTTCAACTTTATTTCTTATTTATCAATTTGTGATTTGAAGTTTCTAACTAAAAGGAGAGCTCATCTTAAAACAATATTTATTACAATAAATAAAGGGTTTGGTGTTTGTCATTTTAAATGACATAAGTTATGTCATTTTAGAGGAGAGGTAGACACAAAAAAATGGAAATAATGGGAGAGAAAAGGTGAGTATTTTTTTTAATTTAAATTTTAAATAAAAAAATTATTTTGTGTCTTTCTCTCTCTTAAAATGACATACATAACTTTATGTCATTTAAAATTACAAACACTTTTTCCATAAATAAAAGAAATTAATGAATTCCTGTATAATTTTTAAAACTTTCAGTATTCCATTCACAATAACCAATTATGCATTTGAACAAACTTAATGGCAATGCTACTAACATTTGCGGATCAGTTAATAACGGGCAAAAAAATTAATTTAACATTTTTTAATAAATTAATTACTCATGTATTACAGTTTTGAAAATAATTATATATTTATTGCACAATATCACGTCTAATTTGGGCGTCACCAATCACGCCTAATTTAGGCTTCACCAAAGAGGCAATCAAATGCCCAATTTAGGCCTCACTCATGAGGTGTTGACACATGTCACATTTTTTACAAAAAAAAAATTAACAATTTAATCGTAAAATTTCTGAAGGCTATAACTTTTGACTCGGGTATCCAAATCAGGTAAAAAAAATTTTGATTCCACATAACTTTTCGAGATCTACGCGATGACATCTCATTTGACATATTTTATTTCTCACAAACACAATTTAAATTTACAAAAATAGTATTATAAGAGCGGCTAAACCCAGAAACCTCTGAGTTCTGAGTTTGTGATTTAATATAAAAAAATAAATAAAGATTAGGTTTGTGACACTGGCACCGCAATATGTTTACTTGCTAGGCCCATATAATATGTTTACTTTGATTACCCATATGCCTAAATCCCAATGGCCCAAAAAAGAACTGTCCATCTTTTTGACACTGGCACCGCAAATGATGTGCATGCATGTTCTTTGTCAACTTAAGCTCTTAATTTATGTAGTTTCTTCATAAGCAATGTTTCTGCTTACACCCTGTACAGTGCAAAGACAAAATGAAAATCAAATCAATAATAATCAAATAAATAACTAGAATTAATGTTGATGCATGTCAAATGTTAGCTTAGGAAAAATAAAAGTCGATATATTATGGTCAAACCTAAACCTCACATCCGCTCCCGTATCTGTGACCTAAAAGATTGTCTATAAAAAAGAACAAGGCCTCGTCTTGTTCAAGATTTTTCTCTGCTGGATTCGTAGCTTGTTTTACTTTCAGAAAAATTTATAATCAAAATGTTAAAAATAAATATTTTGGTGAAAATATCTTTTTAGTATAAAAGAATCCAAATTAAACATAAACTTAACTTATTCAGGATCAGGTGACATAGTGAAGGGTTATACAATTCAATCCATGCCAAACTGAAACTGCGACCATGACTCAGGTTGGGCTTTCTCCTATCTCTTTTTATAGTTTTTATCCCTTCTTCCTATGTGCTTGCGTAAGGAAATCACATTGTTGGAACTTATGGACATGTTTTAAGACAAATGGGCCAAGCCATTATAATATACCCCCTCCCCTGCATGACTGTAGCTAAACTAGTCTATGGTCCAAGCTTTTGAAAATTGAAAGTGTGCAAAACATGTCGTGTTTCTTTTCGGGGTATGCAGTTATGGTTGCTTCCCTTTGTTGCGCCTCCAAAATTGTAATTCTTTATCCAACATTCCACACACACACAAAAGGATAACTGTGTGCCGTTCAACGGCAGAATTAAGAAAAGGAGTTGGAGCAAAACTTAAAGTAGTCATCCAGCAGCTGTGAGCTATTTGTTGAGATATATAGTCTCACGTTGATTGGATGGGCAACTAATATGACCTTTATAAGGCCTTGGGCACTCCCACCTCTTGAGCTAACTTTTGGGGTGGTGTATCCTAAGGTTCTTGTATCAGAGCCTCACCGTCCCCCGCTCTAAAAAGTGGAATTAAAAATAAAAAAAGCACAAGAAGGTAAACCAAAAATGGGTCTGTGCAATTTCCACGCTTCTAGCCTAAAGGGCTCTTGCGTGAGGGGGCGTGTTGAGATATATAGTCCCACATTGATTGGATGAGCAACTAATATGGCCTATATAAGACCTTGGGCACTCCCACCTCTTGAGCTAGCTTTTGGAGTGATGTATATCAAGGTTCTTAACATAATATAACCTGTAGTTGTGAATTTTGATTAAAATCAAATAATCTAGTATAAAGATTTGGATTGCTTCTTCCAAAACGGAAAATTTAAATATTTGTATTGTCACTAGACTTACTACACTCTGTTATATCATATATATTGTTATTTATATTATCAAAGAGAGAGAGAGGACTTGTGCTTGATTAAGTAAATGAAACTAAAATGTAGGCTTAACAAGTTTAGAGGGTGATAAGATCACATGATCTCTCTCTATCTTGATGGGTGTTAGTATTGTCTAATCTGTTGCTAAAAGCCATGGATATGGAACATTTCCAAGTCCAACGGCATTTCACATTTCAGGCGGGACTCACACAAAAGCATTTAATGCCCTATATAAGGCCTTGGGCACTCCCACCTCTTGAGCTAGCTTTTGGAGTGATGTATATCAAGGTTCTTAACATGTAGTTGTGAATTTTGATCAAAATCAAATAATCTAGTATAAAGATTTGGATTGCTTCTTCCAAAACGGAAAATTTAAATATTTGTATTGTCACTAGACTCACTACACTCTGTTATATCATATATATTGTTATTTATATTATCAAAGAGAGAGAGAGGACTTGTGCTTGATTAAGTAAATGAAACTAAAATGTAGGCTTAACAAATTTAGAGGGTGATAAGATCACATGATCTCTCTCTCTCTCTTGATGGGTGTTAGTATTGTCTAATCTGTCGCTAAAAGCCATGGATATGGAACATTTCCAAGTCCAACGACATTTTACATTTCAGGCGGGACTCACACAAAAGCATTATGATTAATGCTCAATAATAAGTCTAGACAGTCAAATAAAATCAAGTATATCAATTATCACCTAATCAATCCAATGCATTGATCCGGCCAGAATTTTGAGCCACTAATTTAATCGGTGGATCAATGGTCGAACTAAATAAATATATACAAATCTATATTTTATACTTAAAAACCCAATTTAAAATCCACAACAATTTCATTTCACATCAATTTCCATAAGAAGGTTGCTAAATTTATTATGTAACTTACGAATCAAATTTTACAAATTGTGGAAAACTTGGGAAGTTGTAAATCAGTTTCGATTCAAGACACATTAATATTATGCAGATAATGTCTAGTATGATCATCTTGACTAGACAAATCTACACCTGGGAATTTAGATTTTTTAGAATGAATATTTTAAAAGTATTTTACTAAAAACCCATACTTGAATTTTCTATGATTCAAGATAAGACACACCAAAAAAGTATTTTATTAAGGACTTTATTTTTAAAATGAAATTTGGAGTTTTTGGGCATTAAAGTGATGCTTGTAAATAGTGCGAAGGAAGTGATTTGTTGGAAATGAGATTATAAAGGTATTATTATGGTTGGAAATGATCCCTAAGGTGACAAGATAGAAAAACTTGAGCTCAGAGTTAATGGTCTTGTGTAATAAAGAGAAAATGATAATCAACAATTGGAGAAGAGAAGTGTTGGAGCAAGTAGTGGAACTGACAATTACGAGTAAGGGTTTCTCACTTGGGAAGAGTTATGATTTTTTAAAATTTTGAGAACAAATTTTTTTTATTTTTTATCTAAAAATGCATGACCTGCAAATATCTTTGTGACTCGACTGGATCACTGGTTTTGATAAAACCCAATTGGTTCAAATCAAATTTTATCGGGTCTAATAATAATCAATCAATTGCTTGGCTTGAACTGATTAAATCAGCGATTCTTCGAGTTTCGGGTCAAATCAACCTGTTCGAGCCGAGTTTGATAATTGATAACACTGGTTTCAATCCTTATTGATATTACACCATGCATCATCTTCAATCAGAGGCGGACCGAGTGGGGGCAAATGTCTGCAAGTGCGGACATAAACATTATGATTTTAGTTTTTCTTTTTCTTTTTCTTTGTTGCAGTTTCTTATTTGTCTCTTGGTTCAATATTTATATTAGTAGTAAATATCCTTTTAAATCATTAACAAAAAATATGGTCCCCACTTTAGTCGCTTATAAAAAATTAGAGTTGAGGTTCCTAAGAAATTCAAAGTGGATCAATTTAGTTAAAATTATGATCCCTCACATATTCAAAAAAGACCCACATTAGTTGCTCAAAAGGACTAAAATGTGTCCACTTGTCAAACTATTGCCTGCAGCTTGTTATGTAAGCAACTAGATTATGAGCGGGTTTAAGCATTGATTTAAACTTTCTTTACAAAAAAAAAATTTCAGAGGTGCTGCCCCCGAACCTTCACCATTAAATGTGCGGACATAAAAAAAAAATTATGGATCCACCACTGACTGCACCCATCCTTAAATATAGTCACAATACAAATTATTTTGCCTTATTATATATATTAATTTCATTAGATTATAATTTCAACTAATTTTCATATGAAAAACAAATAATCTTGAAATTGTGATATAGTGATATTAAAG